TTGCCGGTATCCAAAGCGGACAAATCGACAGACGGCTAGCGGTGCACGTAACCACACAAATATACACGCCGCACCGCCCCGCCCCGCCGCCTTTTACACTGACTCATTTAGGGGCCCACCACGGCAAGTCTCTGCGTCTGGATCTGAGTTCGGCAAATCAAAATCGTTGCATTTCATTAGCCATCCAGCAATCCAGACCAGCCCAGCCCAGACAAGACCAGGCCAGACCAGGCCAGGCCAGACCAGGCCAGACCAAGCCATATGCCAGGCCGTTTCACAGACGCCTCTGTTTTGGCCGCAAGAGCAGACCTGGCTGTGTTTGGCTTAATACGTAATTTATGATTGCGACTAATATGTGTAAATAAAATATATATTAGCTTATGCATTTGTCATGATCTCGACTGTGAAAGTATTTACATAAATACCTATGCGATGTGACATGTCAATTTGAAAGAGAAAAAAAATGTGTTTTATTTAAATATATGCAAATCGTATGAAGCAGACCAGCCGCATCTGATCACACAATTCCAACCAACCTATATATTTTTAAAGAGAAATTAAATGAACTTAGGATTTATATCAGATAGAGTTTGTTCAAGCAGCATAGTCAAGTTCATAGTATTTCAAAATATGTTGAAAGAACAGAAAAGATTTCTATATAATAGATTTTATAATAATAGAATAGTCCGATGTAGACACGATTTTTCTAATATGTCAGCGAAGTAAGGCTCGGAACCTTGATATCTTGAAGAGCAAATACCTTGTCAGAACAGATCTTATATTTAAGCCGATCGTTTCTATGTCAGCTATATGATATAGAACCTAGCCAAAGTTTCGTGATAATAGCTGTAAGACTGCGGCTCTATATAGACGCTGTTATATCTCCTTAATGTTGAGACTGATCAGGCATTTATCTATATATGCATAAAGCTTATAAAATACCCTCTACAAGTGCATACAAATAGGGTACACCAGCCAAGAAATTTGTATGTATTTGGCCTAAGCAAATGGTTGGCCAGTGAAAGTCAAGATCCGCTGCAATAGAAATTCAATTATGGCGACACCGAAATGCACCTCCAAGTATGTTAACAAATGCCTCGGCACGTCGCCACGGAGTTTGTCACTTGCCTTGATCTGATCCGAGGGCAGCGAGGTGGAGAATGGCACGAGTCCAAGAGTCTGAGACCGTTGCAGAAACTGATTAATTATTTGCCATCGATTAATCTCGCAGTCAGGCTTGATTGATTCAACTCAGGGTTAAGGTAAATGTCACAGTAAAATGCGTTCTCGAGTACTCTGCCAGTCTGAGTCACGCTCAATTAAACAAAAAACATATACGCCTAAGCATACCCTACCTTAGCCACATTCATGTACGTATTGTCTTGTATCGGGAAAGTGCATTTGGCTCTGACTTACTCCACGCTCTGTTTGGGACTGGCAGCGACTCCGGTTGGCTTTGGGCATTTTGGCAATATGACATCACTTGCCAAATACTCGAAAATCACTTAAAATAATAATAATTCGTTATTTAAAGAATCGCAATTTTGGCATGACAGTCATGCGCCGATTTTCTAACTAGGCAACAGCCATAAACAAATTAGCGAACTAGATGCGCTTGGCTGCCGCTCGACTATGAGGTACCCTATAAAAACATATTGCTGAAGTTATACGATATAAATAAATCCAAGCTGATTATATATATATAGACATTTTTTTTTCTCAATTCAATTCATGCTCAATTTGCATATATTCGTCTTAGCGAATTGTCGTGATCTGTTTACGAATATATTTATATATATGTTTAGGTTCTCCAGATAAGACATTTTAAAGCTCTTTAAAAAACGGCAAGTATGTTAATTTAATGGCCGCAAAGATGTGACAAGCAGGCAGTAACTGGTCGGTGCAGGGTGTATATATGTGTATATAGATATATTTAGATATATATATTTAGATGTATAGGTGTAGTTGGCATTACGCATACGCCGCATGTGCCGACACTTAAGTTTCTGTTTTTTGAATGCGAATACAACTAACCGAGTTTGCCCACACACAAGCTGCGCCAGTTGCCAGTTGCCAGTTGGCAATTGTTATTGTTGTTGTAATTGCTGTTGTTACTGCCAGCTCGTTGAACAACATTTAATTTAGCCAAATGTTTGTCTGGCACTTTGACGAATTCGTTAAGCTGCTCATAAAGTTTAAGCCCAGAGAGTGCTCACAGATTTGCCCTCCTCCCAAGCGCAGTTCAACTAGCCGAGCCAGCAACAATGTTTGCAGCCAGCTTCTTTATGAGCCGTTCGGCCCAGAGCACAGCCCGGGCATCTAGTCAAGAGCCGCAGCAATCGTGTGCCCAGAGATCGGAGGAGCTACCGTTTCGTGCTGGCAGCCCCGAGCCGAGTGCTCTGACCTCAATTAGCCCGCCACACGAAACGCCGTCGGAGCTGCTGTCAGTTGTACTCTATTCGTTTATGTTAGCACTATCTTATTTTTTTTTATCTGTGGGCCGGCTTATGGAACATATCGCGATAAGATAATGTCGCCACTAGCCCCGGCGACACACAGCCACATGATGGAAAGGTCTCAGTACTGATGCAGCTTGACACGAAAAAGCAAGTAAAGAGTGCTCTAGTCGGGAGTGCACGACTAGCAGATACCCTGGGTACAGAGCCAAGCTATAGCTCCTTCAGTATCAGGTGGAGTTTGAGTTTGTTATAATCTTCGATTTATGCTTCAAAATACAGTCTCGATATTTATATATATTCTGAGAAGTATGGGAAGAGATGTCAAATAAATAATCATAAACAATTTCTATGTACAGTTAGGGAGAATATATATCTGAAATTTCAAGTCGAGATCGATGAGTTCATATTGAGCTACAGGCGGATAGACGTACAGTTGGACATGGCTAAAGCGACTCGGAGAACAGAAGAGGTTTCCTTCTGTCAGCCAAATACATTTGCAGGCATATTTTAGGCACTTTTAACCAATTTTTAAATTTCATTCAACATTTGGCTAAAGTGTTTGGGAATCATTTTTGGCAACTTTTCGAACTGGCGCCTTTAGCGAGGACTTGCTGTTCCCAGCTAATTGACTTGTGTGCGAATCAATTTGCATACAAAACACTCGTTTTTTTTCATGGAATTGCAACACACCTAGTTTTCAGTCAATGTTTGCCTACCTAACGTAATCATGTCGCACCTCCCAAGTGTCCAAACGGGGTATTTATGTGTGTGTAGGTATAGGCACATAAATTCATATCTCTTAACGTTATATATTACCCATTAGTTTACGAGCATGTACAAAAGTAATATGTGCTTGTGTTCGTTTATTATATTTCACTCAGCCACGAAATTGATAAGAAATTCTAGACGTGAATCTAAATGTATATTTGTAAAGAAGAAAAATAAAATAACAAATAATAATAAACACTTGTTTGAAAACTTGTTTGGAATTATTGATGTACATAGCTCGTGATTTTGTGATTGGTGTCGCCACAGCGCATAGCCGGGTAATATTTTCGATAGCTAACCATTAAGCCCAACTGAATTTATTCACATTCCTTTTATTGACGTGCATTCCCGCACAACATCGAAGAAAGCTCCAGCACCAGCTGTCTCCGATAAGTTCGCACCTATAAGATAGATAGCATTCCGCGGTTGATAATGTCACAGCTGCAGCTGCCGTTTCCCGGTGAATGTCAGCGAAATGCTAAAACCTATCTTGAATTGGGTTCAGGGCGTCTCGGGTCTCGTGTCTCGGGTCTCGGGTCTCGAGTGTCGGGTCTTACGATTTTACTGGACTTAACATCGCTGCTGCCTCGGCTTGCAGCGAGTTAAGTTTTATATGAAGGTGACTTCTTTTCGAATGCATTACCGGTTTTTTTCCCGCTCCCGCTCGCTGCACCCCTTTCCCAACCAAACACCAGTACTCTGAAGGAAAAGAGTAATGGAATATGCATGCACACACACACACACAGACACACAGGCACATACACAGGTGTAATCTACCTTTACATACCCTAGCAGCGGCTAAAACAGCTTTGACATGAAGCAGACAAAAGCTGTCCAGAAAATAACTAAGTCTACTTTTATTATTATATAAAATGCTTTTTTTTTGTAAAACCCTTCATTTAATATTATATCGTATTAAAATAATATTAAAATATATTTTTTCTAGTAGTTTTTTGACAATATTAAAACCAAATTTTTTTGTTGAGTGTATAACGACTTCGTATACTTGCAAAAACCTTTTCATTTCTCTTGCTATTCGGCACATTTGTTGTTTGGAAAATGTTTGTCCATCTATATGTCCACTACAGTGTCATATATATTGTAAGTGTGTGCAAGTAAGTGCATATCTTTGCGGTTACAGTTGGGCTGTCTTTTTGTCTGTCTGTGTCTGATAAAGCTGCCAAATTGCCGGAGGGAGAACTGGGCCAGTGCTGGCTCAGTAGTAAAACGGCAAATGTTTAGATAATGCCGACTTAAGTTGAAAAATTTATATGTCATTAATACATACACAGTACACACACACACACACACACACACTGCTGCAGCTGCTGGCTCTGAGTGCATGTGTGTGTGTGTGTGTTTTGGTATGTTTTAGATATGGCACTGCACAGCCAAAGGCAACAGCGGGCAGGTAATGAAGCCACAGGTAGGTAGACGACAAGCAACTCCACACCCATACTCTCGCATGCACACACACACACACGCACACGCGCGCACTCACACACAAGCAAGCGCGCGTACAAGCAAGAGCGACTCGTACTTGGCAAGCACGTGCGGTAGAGCGAGTAAACTCTTGTTGTCTGATCTCTGATCGCTTGTTGTTGCTTTCGCACTCGTGCTGCGTTTGTCTACTCGCAAATGACGAAATCTCATCCCTCATTTCCATTCAAATTCAATGTCTATGGCTCTGGCTCTGGCTCTGGCTGAAACTGCACTTGAGCTGCCACCAAATTTTGCATCTGAGTAAATTTGCATATTTAGAGCTACACTTACCGTGTTTTTGGGGGCTGCGTTAAATACGTTGCTCTCGAATGAAGCGAAGTAATCCAAATTGTAATATGATCGCTAAAATAAACACACAAACGTTATCCAAAACGAAGCAAAACACACAAACTTAATCTGAAGGTTTTGTCTACCACTGCAGTTGTTATTTCGTGAATTTTTTTTTAATATAATTTATATTTTGTCACGTTTTCAAAAATCAGTTTAGCTATGTGGTTAATTTAAACTATATATTGGCATTTTATTAGTTAAGTGAAGCCGTTGGCTCCCTATGTTACCGATATATCGTGTGCGGTACCGTTGCTCTCGTAACGAATGCGTTTTAACACCTGTTGAAGTTCAAACTCGACTGATCGTTGGGCCGTTGAAGTTCAATATTCAACAGATACAAAAGTATCTGCTGTTATCGCTCTGCGCTGTTATGCTACTGTAAAATGTGTCGATGACACTACAAGCTATCGATATTTGAATTATGCCTAATCATTTGCGCCATCTTCTGGGCATTCTTTAGGCCTTTGAATTGCTTATGCTAAAGCTCACAGCGCCATCTTGTTAATATTTTGTTGAAATGCTAAGTGTATTGCATACTTCGACCTTTCTTGAATGTATAGAAAGGTTTTATTTGCAGCTAACAAAAGTATGCAAGAATATAACCATTAAATATGTTCATTATTTTATGTACTTTGAATTCGTATTCTCGATAAATGACTCCCTCGGGCTTGCGATCGCAATCTGAACTTAACAGTTTAGGCGATTCAGCCACACAGCATTTCTAAGTTCGGTTCCGGTTCCGATAGTCAGCGAAATTATCGATTTTCGGAATGTTATCAATGACACAGCCTAAATAAATACAAATTTATTATACGCTGCGAAAGTAAAACTGTTTCTATACTAGTTTAACATAAATAATTAATCATATTTTATGTGTAGTTCACTTTCCATTTGTAATCATTCGTGCAGACAATTTGAAAATTACATTTTACAGTGTAGCGAAATCAATGTTGTCCTTTGCTTGAAATATATATTATATAATATATATATAATATAAAAACAACATTTGAGTTGAAACAACACGCAGAAAAAGTACTTATTGTCAAACTGTTTGGAGGAAATAAAAATTCGAAATTGCAGTATTTTAAATATAAGACTGGGCGGGTTTACATAGAACGAGGGCTGCAACAAAACAAACAGGGATGCAAGTCGGACGCAACAAGATTATGACATTTTCGCTTGTCAAAAATTTTTGTCGTCCGCTCGCCCGATCTAAGCCTGTTATTGTAATTAATAAAAATTTTTGTATATTCTGAGAATGTTTTCTGCCAACACACACTCTGTGGTAAGTGCAGGCCAACTACGATGCCGATACACAATTCATTCCACTCTCACATCCACTGACTTTTTGGTTTTTTATTCAATGTCAGCCCTACCTTTATCTGGGTAATTTTAGTAGAAAACCGCACTATTACACCGTAAAGCGAACCAAACTGCAGACAAATGGCAGTGTTCCGCGTTTCTTTGCCGACAAATCAAAGTCCTCCAGTTCCAGCAGCAGCAGCATCATCAACAGTAATACGCCGGCGCAGGGTAAGCGCCACGACCTCGTGCTGGATTTCAAGAATCTGCTCATCAAGTCGGGCGCCAGCTTGCAGAGCATTGTTGAGAAGGCAGCTCGACTGAATGGAATCTTGGACAGGGAGCTTGTAAATGATGCACTCATCAAGGTGACCAGCATGCTGCCCTCAATGCGCAACATCCATGTCACACTGGAGGAACCAGCAACACACATTGCTCGAAGCAAGCAACAAAATTACAAGTTTGAAGTCTCACTGAACTCCCCGCAAAATATTGGGTTTGTGTGCGTTTAAACGATACGAAGTGTTCACTTATAAAAAGAATACATTTTCGATTGCAGTAGCATATATCCAACTGTCATGAGAGGCCTGCTGAACCCGCTCATTACGACCCATCAGCTGTGAGTATAGTGAGAGATTGCAATATCTGAGAGAAATGTTTTCAATCTGTCTATCATTCCTCCAGTAGACAGCTGCGGGACTTCAAGACAGACCGTTCCATAGAGGCGGAACAGAAACGCAATCCCACAATGACAACCAGACTGAAGTCTGCACTCCAAGGAACGCCACATAGACCAGATGGGGAGCTTAACATTCAGGCCGAGAAGCTTAAAAAACTGCTCAGCAAATCTGGCGAGCAAGGAAACGCTCAAAGTGCGGTATGCTCTGCGAGTTCATTTACCGAATAGCATCGAGTCTTAACATTAAACTGTGATTGCAGGAAAACTTAAAAATTGCTTTTGCCGAGGGCTATTTGGCTGCATCGAACGCGGAAGATTCGCAGAAATCTGGAAAAACAATGAAGTATCTGAAGGTATGTCTCATACAACCCTGTTAACACCCCCTTTGCCTTTGTCTCGTCTCTTAACCCACCGAAGAAAGCATCTCCGATCGTGTACCTTCTGTCCGAATACGAGTTCTTTGAATGGTTAATTTGTTTAGCAAGTCTGTAGCAAAGCACGGTATTTCGATTTCGTCTAGGTAATCATATTGATTAAATCTAATCGATTATTCGAAGATAGCTTTAGTTCCTGGTTTTGTAGTCTGTTCGCTCCTTAGTGTTGTGAATAATGATCAGTAATTATCACGCAGATTTTCCAGACACTCATTGTTATCGTCGTTTTCATTGGAATCTTCATGAGCTTCTTTACCTCTTCGAATGGATCCGTTTTCCGGTAAGCATTCAAGCCTCTTTCCTCGTATCATCAATTCTAAAAACTTGTCTTTTAGCAGCATACAACTGGGCAGTCAGGTTGAAGTCGATCCGGAGGAGATACACGTTACATTCGATGATGTTAAGGGCTGTGATGAGGCCAAGCAGGAGCTCAAAGAGGTGGTTGAATTTCTCAAGAATCCCGACAAATTTTCGAATTTGGGTGGTAAGCTGCCAAAGGGTGTGCTCCTCGTTGGCCCGCCTGGCACCGGAAAAACCTTGCTGGCCCGCGCTGTTGCCGGCGAGGCAAGCGTTCCATTCTTCCATGCCGCTGGCCCAGAGTTCGATGAAGTCCTGGTGGGTCAGGGAGCCAGACGTGTCAGAGACCTGTTTAGTAAGTACTGGATGCCAAATAAATAATTATTACTGTATCTCTTATTTCCACTGCATCAATTATCAACAGAGGCAGCCAAGGCACGTGCTCCCTGCGTCATATTCATTGACGAAATCGATTCGGTTGGCGCCAAACGTACAAACTCTGTACTCCATCCATATGCTAATCAGACCATAAATCAATTGCTTTCCGAAATGGATGGCTTCCATCAGAATGCCGGTGTCATAGTGCTTGGTGCAACGAATCGTCGCGATGATTTGGATCAAGCATTACTTCGTCCTGGTCGCTTTGATGTTGAGGTTGTGGTGTCTACTCCCGATTTTACTGGTCGCAAGGAAATTCTGTCCTTATATTTGGAAAAGATTCTACATGATGACGTGGACTTAGATATGTTAGCACGTGGCACTTCGGGCTTTACTGGCGCGGATTTGGAGAATATGATTAACCAAGCTGCTCTGAGGTGCGTGGTCTCTCCAATATCTTTATTTAGCAATGATTTCAGTTTTATTGTTTCCGTAGAGCTGCCATTGACGGAGCGGAGACTGTGAATATGAAACATTTGGAAACGGCACGTGACAAAGTACTTATGGGTCCGGAGCGTAAGGCGCGTCTGCCCGACGAAGAGGCAAACACAATAACAGCATACCATGAGGGAGGCCATGCGATTGTGGCCTTCTACACAAAGGAATCACATCCTCTGCATAAGGTTACAATAATGCCGCGTGGACCCTCATTGGGACACACAGCCTACATACCTGAGAAGGAGCGCTACCATGTCACAAAGGCCCAACTGCTGGCAATGATAGACACAATGATGGGCGGCCGTGCCGCCGAGGAGATCATCTTTGGCACAGAGAAAATCACGTCTGGCGCAAGCAGCGATCTGAAGCAGGCCACGTCGATTGCCACGCATATGGTTAAGGATTGGGGCATGTCGGAGAAGGTCGGTCTCCGAACAATTGAGTCGGCAAAGGGTCTGGGGTCCGGTGAAACCCTGGGACCAAACACAGTGGAAGCCGTAGATGCCGAGATCAAGCGAATTCTGAGTGACAGTTATGAGCGTGCGAAGGCCATTCTCAAGAAGCACACAAAGGAACACAAGGCGCTGGCAGAGGCACTGCTGAAATACGAGACTCTGGATGCTGATGATATCAAGGCAATATTAAATGATAACCAGTAGTATTTGTTTTCTGATTGGCTTCAGTTAAGCGTGCACTGCATATAAGTACATATAATTACATATATTTTAGTTACAATATTATAAACGTAAACACTCTGAAACAGAATACCAGAAAAAGATCGGGACGCAGACGAACAGTTAAGAAATAAAATGTTAAAAATATTTGTTTATCTATTTTTTTCTATAATATACACAGAGTGAACACCATGAACAAGCATATTTGTAGTTTATCATTTCTGCTGGGGTAGATTGTTGTTTTTTCTTTCCATACCAGATACGTGCTTCAGCTGTAGGCCAACTAACAGGAGCTGCAATGTTATTACGCGATGCGCGCTTAATAAAAATACTGTTAATAGCTTATAGGAAAAAAAGGCTAACTAACTTATGGCTAATAAATGATAACAAGCCCGGACCAATGCGAAAGTTGATCAATATAATCTGTCAATGCCTTGAAATAAATAAAAACAATTATTTTTTGTAAAAGTGGAATTCCAAAATTTTGGTATTTTTTCTTGACAATCGAGTATTTCTGTAGTTGCCATGTACGGTCATACTGAAAGTTAATTGATTGGACAAAGTTACAAGTCAACTTTTCGAATAGGAAAATTTACAAAATAATCAGTTGAAATGAGTGAATATGAGTTCTCCGAGACCGCATACACTAAAATTATATTCCATGCGGCCAAATACCCACACCAGGCTGTCAACGGCCTACTGCTGGCCGAGAAAAAGCCAAAAGGTTCTATAGTCCAAATCACAGATGCAATCCCTCTTTTCCACCAGTGCCTTAATGTCACGCCTATGGCAGAAATAGCACTAATCCAAGTAAGTTGAATAATTTAACATACAAAAGCATTTCAAGTGTTTTACTCTCTAAAATTGACGCAATTGCAGATTGATGCCTACGCTGAAAGTGAGGGGCTAGTTATTGCCGGCTACTATGCCGCGCCTGAGAACTTTTACGATAACCATATCGAAAAGGCACCAGCTGCCAAAATTGCTGACAAGATACAGGAAAACTTTAAGAACGCATGCTTCGCGGTCGTTGACAACAAGCTTGTGTCCCTGGAGCACAATCGGGCGGCGCTACAGGTGTACGGCTATTCGAGTGAATCCAGTCGCTGGTCAAAGGCCAAATATTCGTTGGTTCAGTCGTCACAAACATTAGAAGGCGTGTCGCTGCTGCTGAAGAGGGGTGCCATGCGGGATGTTATCGATTTCGACAATCATCTAGATAATCCCGAGAATGACTGGACCAATCAGTTCTTAAATCAATCCCTGAAGGACCTGCAAAAGTTGTACTAAGTATGTTAAATTGTTAGCAAATGTGCATTTCCGATCAAGTAGAGCATAGCCGAGGGCAGAGAGAATTTCAACCTTGCAATTTAATTTATTGTATGTAATTACAATTGGATTTCAGTAATCTTTAGAATAATGCATATAAGTTAAATAACATTCAACTAATTAATAAATAATCAATTCTTTCGTATTTGCTTCTCGAGTACAAGACCTAGGCCCTATCTGATCCGTTGAGTCCGTCTGTCGTTCCCGTCATGTTAGTTTGTCTTTGAGTGCGCGTCCTCTAAACCTAAACATGTTTACAATTACCATTAATAAATACAAATGAATAATATGCATAGAAATTTACTTTTTGGTTGGTTGACTGTCCTATAAATTTCAATATTTTACAACAATATTGTAATATCGCGATTGCTGATTATACATAGGTGTACATAATACGTATGTGGATATATCGAAGATCGAAAGTATAGCAAAAATGTTTCCTTTTAATTTGATCATATATTTGCTTTAATTTTAATGCATTGTATAATTCGATACTATTCATTCATCATTCATCTAGCAAATATCATCGAGTCGAACGATTTATTTAATACACATTATTATTATAATTATTATATGGAACGCGGATCAAGGAACGGGAACTGGAACGTTTGCATCTTATTTGATTTGTTTTGTAATTTGTATATATATAATATCAATTATAATTATTGTTGCCTTGGGTATGCAAATAGATAAATTTATTGTATTCGTATATTATATGTATATATGTATTTTGTTTGTATATATATATATATATATATATTTCTTGAACGATATCTGTTGCTGGTATCCTGTATATATACGAATGCATGTAGAAATTGCTGGATGTGTGGGAAAGTGTTGAATCTGTTTTCCGGTTTTTCATTCATGGAGCTCTACAAGGTCGCCTTTTGATTATATCCTAGCTATACACGTGCACTCCATACACAAATATGTACATACATATACATACCCAGTATCTATTATATATCAAAGTATGTGCACACCTCTGTACCTAAACACTCGAGCATTATCCTTGCAATATGTTTGTCTGCACTTTTATTCGAATTCTGTTTACCTCATGTATACGAGAAGTAGTTGCTGCTTTTGTTCTGTGTCCATCATCACATGCTATGTTAGTTGATCTATAAGGATGCAATATATGTAGACTCATTAAAAATATATATGTATGTGAGTGTGGAAACAAAACTGTGTGCAACTGAAAAAACAACAAAGGTTTTCAAGTGGACTTTGGAAAATAAGAAGAAATACTAGATGTGTGAAGCTCAGCGCGAGTTGGTGGGCTTGTGGGTGGGTTTCAATGCCCTTGTAGAGGGTATTATAATTTTGTCAAGAAGTGTGTAACGCATAAAGGAAGACTATATAATATAGCTGATACAGGAGCGATCAGTCAAGTAGTAAAATTTGTTCTTTTTCAAGATTTCGCGACCAAACTTGGCCTTAACATGCTCCTCATAGCAACATAAGACCATTATATCATATAGATTTGTAATAATCAAACTATTTTGTTTCAACGTATCTGGACTAAACGCAGCAATTGCGAACTGGAGTATGCAACTCACATATCTTGAAAAATCGGCATATGTCTACAAGGGTATTTAAACTTCGGCGTGCCGAATGTGGTCGTTCTCTCTTGTTTGTTTTTGGAGAAGTTTCGTTTGTGTTGCTCTAAGCTTATCAGTGTATCTAGAGTCGATCTAGAAATTGCCACCACCATCACCAGCGATATTTACCATTCCGGAGGACAGAGAGTTGATGGCATCTTCCACTGTCGGCTTGTGTCGATCGATTTTAGATGAATTTATGGGCGAGAAGTTGTCTACGATTGTAAGCATGAATGAAAATATACACACATATATATATATACACAACACAAAATGATTTGATTTGCAAAAAAGAAATGACAAGTGCCAATTACCGAGATCACCACTCGAACTGGAGTCCGTAAAACTGGGTGTGCCCTCTGTCCAAGTGGGTGTTGAGCCCTCACCTGATGCCGGTGGCGTCCAGGCCAAGCCGCCACGTGAGCCATAGTGACTGCTCGTTGAGGTGTCCACCGCCAGAAACGTGTCCAGATGCACCTCAGAGACGCTGCAAATACGCAGACAAGTTAGTTCCAGATCCGGATGAGCCCGTTTATTAGTTAGGCATGCAATTACCTGACGATATCCTCCTTGTAGGAGCCACGATAGGCGGGACCAATATTCATTTTCCGTTCCAAATACTGTGGCTGTTGCTGATAATAGGAAGGTTGCTGCTGCTGCTGCTGTTGCTGGTGATGATGATGATGATGATGGTGCTGCGACCTGCGCCCAGTCGAGGATGTGCTGTTCTTGTTCGAGCTGTCCTCGGAGATGTCGTCAAAGGCAGGGGGAGGTGTTGAACTGCATGATGGAGTTGTGCCTAGCAATACAATGAGAACCAAAGCAAAGGAATTAGAAGGGTGAGCAGCAAGTCAATCAGAAAAGTGGCTGGGAAATGGGAAATGGAAAGCATGCTGCAGTCTAGGCACAACTATTGCGTCTCAAGTCAAGCGAATCACGCAATGTGCCGCCAATCGATTGGGTGTCCGTGCTCTCGGGTATGGTCGAGGGCGCCGCTTTCGGTGCGCGTCTCTTGGCACGTTTCGGGCGCTGTGGTGCTGTGGACAGCTGGGTCGGCTGCTCATCCTCGTCGGGCAACTGCTCTGTCGGCAGTTCCAACACGGGCAATGCTCTCTGCCGCCGGTTGGTGCCCTCCAGCTCGCGCTTGACCTCGAGAAATGTGCTCACCGATTGCAGCAGATTGTCCTCCTGCGCCTCGCAATTATCCTCACACAGTGCCATATCCACAAAGTGCAAATAGCGACTGTGCTTCTGGCGGCGTTGTGGCCGCCTGGGCGAACGTTCCGAGCTGCCGCTAACTGTGGTCTGGCCGGTGCGATAGCTGTCGGCGCGAATCGGTGGAAAGCTGCGCACTATGGAGCCCACCGAGGACCGTTCGCTGCGCGCAATGAAACTGTTCTGTCGCTGAAAAATGTCCACATGGTTGAGCAGACGCGACTGCTGCTGCTGCTGCCGTCGGTGGCAGCTGCTCTCTGAACGTGCCGTGGAGTAGACGGACTGCAGCGACTCCCGGCGACGCACTGGCGCCGGACTGGCATTGTCGCACACATCGAACAGATCGTGCAGCTCCAGCCAATCCTGCACATTGCTAGGCGAGCGACGCTCCCCGAAACGCGGCATCTCTACGCTGGGCAACTGGAGCGTGTTGTTCGTGCCGACTATGGCTGGGATTGTGTTTGAATTATTATGGTGTGTGGCTATACCTGGCGTGGTGGAGTGTGCCCGACTCTCCTGTGTATCCTTGCGACGTGGCGAGCCGCGTGGTGGCACTGGCGGAGGAACGCGCGCCTTCAGATTGCCTCCCGCCGCATTCGCGGCCGTCGTCGTCGGGTTGGCGGACGCGCGCTGCCTCACCGGCGGTGGCACATTGCTCTGGCCAGCTGTGCTGGAGTGACGCCCACTTTCCCGATCCCGATCCCTGTCCCTGTCCCTGTCCCTGTCCCGGTCACGCTCCCTTTCCGAAGCAGCTGCTGCTGATGTGGCCTCCGTTGTGGGCATCTTCGACTGCTGGAAAATTTTGCCGCTGCTGTGCGAGTGCGAGGCGTGCACAGCTGAGAAGAAATGGAAATAGACATAAGTACGTATACCATTTATATGCTTCCAAGGAATCTTACCACGTGTCGACTCGTTCTCGCTGTCTATGGAGCGCTGTATGGCCTTGGATAGGCTTTTTCTCTTCGAAGGCGAATGCTTAAGCGCTATAAAATTGAGCAGATATCAAGAATTAGCTGACGGATCAGAAATAAGACAAGAAACTTAAAACAGGTATATATGCAGAAGAGAAGCCATAATGATAAAGCCAAAGAGTTCGGGTTATATATAGATGGGTTACATAGAATGTGAACACTAACGTGAGATTGAGAGGCATGCTTTGCGTCCGGTTTAATAAACCAACCAGGTGCAGTAAGAGAAACAGGAACAGAAATCAAATTGAAAACCAAGGTGAAACAACTTAATAAATATAGAAACGTATTTTACAATATTTGCTTAAAAACTGAACAGAAAGATTAAAATTAAGCTAACTTAATAAATATGGTAACATAAATCACATAATTTTTTGTTGAAACGAAAAAAATAAATTAATTTAACAAATAGTTTGTTGTATTGTTTCTTTACCTATATAACTGGTTACCAAGGTACGAAATTTTCTGTGATTTCCTTTGATCTCTGGGAGATCCACTACGCGTACAAGTGAGTAAGGCGCCAAAGTAATATCGAAAAGAAAGCAGAGAACAGCTGATTTTTTTTGTTTTTTGTCTTTGATATTGTCATAGAATACAAATTTAATTACTGATTACAGATTAAAGATAACAATTTAGCCGACTACCGAATAATAGCGCAACCAGGGCAAGTGTACTATATTGCACTTTTGTTGCATAAAAACGGAATTAAACAAAATTAGCAGGTTACAGTGTGTGTGTGTAAAGCAAGGCTGCAAACCGAACCGAATCGAGCCTTAAACCAGACCAATTAACCAACTTTTAACCGAATGAAGACTCACTTTGATTGACGGGCAATTATCAGGCTCCAGGTTCACGAAACGAACCTAAAGACCATATTTAAATTTTTGTTAGGTTTACAGCCGTTTTTTGTGTGTGTACAATTGTTGTGTGTGTGTGTGTGTTTGTGGGCAGCTACGCAATGTCAACATCATTAGTTTGTCTCATTTTACTGGATACTTTGCCAGATTGCACAAAAGTGCCTTATAGTACGTGCACTTGGCCCAATTGCGGCAGTCTGCTTGCACTTACGCGATGGTATCTTGCGGAATACGGTTTTAGCCATAAAGTTTTGAAATCTTTGAGCATAGAACGAGGGCCGACAAACCGAAACGGTCTCCTATGATTGTAGAAACAAGATAAGCATGATTCTACCAGCGATCAGGTCTCACTTACCCCGTCGTGTATTATGCTTTTGAAAGTGTGCTCCAGCTTCTTCTTCAGCCTGTAGGATTGCAGTATGTCGATGATGCCAATGTAGAGCAATAGGCGTTCGCCCTTCTCGCTGCGTGCCGGAATGCCGCCAGGCCTGGACCATAAGAGAAATTAAACATAATTAGTCAGAAGCTATGGCGTGATTGTGTGTAACTACTTACGGCACATCCTCCTCATCGTCGATGGGTTCGCTTTCCGCCTGAATGCTCTCCATGGCCGTGGAGTGAGCGACCAGGCGCTGCCGATTTACCGATCTGTATGCCACACTGGATTAGCATATCATCAATTGCTCCTCTTTGGGACAGCTATTGCCAACTGGAATATACTCACTTGTTTCTGCTGATGCCCGTTGCTGCGTCGCGTTCCTTTCCATCGCCCTCGACTGCCTCCAGCGGCTCATCGACATCGGAATCCTCGGCCAGCGGTGCCCTCAATGGTTTCCTATGCTCGCTCAGTTTCTCCTTTAAGGCCACATCCAAATTGTGCACGCCCAGCAGCAGCGAATAGTCCATTATCTTGAATGATTCCAGCACAGTGCAATCCCTTTGTATGGTCTTAATGAGCGCCGAATATGTTTCCGCCTCCAGAAAGATGCCGTTCGGATGCTGTTCCATAAAGTCCAGATCCTTGTATGTGGGCGACTTTTTGGCCCTTTCCGCCTTCGATGCCTTGCGCTTAAACGTCGAACCCTTGAGATCATATTTCAGATGCATTCGCACCGATGACGGCAGCAGATTATTCATCACCACCAGGCGAATATTTTTGGCATTGCTCGTTTGCAGGCAGTAGAGTCCGAAGAATTTCGGCAATAAAGTGCGCGGATTTTGATTGAGATTCATATAATAACTGTGGAGTTAAAGCTCTTAGCTGATGTATATGATCAGGTATGCTTCAAGGTCTACTTACCCAGGCAGTAGTTTTTGTAGAAATTCACCCTCTTTGTGTTGCACCGTTTTGATAATGAACTCGTCATCGTCCGTTAAATAGAATATTGAGCCGGAAGCACCTGGATTCGATAGTTCGCGCAGCGGCGAAGTGCACATAGACATCTAATAACGATGATGATGATGATGATGATGATGACGTTAGAAACTTGATTTGTGCATACTGACCATGAAATCATCCGGCTGTATGCCAAACAGATCACGAAAGTAACGAAATGCTATGGGCGCATAGATCTTATATCTGAATTCACTATAATGGTGGGCAGGTGTAAGGCTAGAACCCTCTGGCGGAAACGTAATGCTCTCGATTTCCCAGAAGTCCATCATAAGTAGATCACGTTTTGGCTTTGATGCCAGGCTGCCGACCTGTCAATAAGACGAACTTAATTGATTGATTGACTGATTCATGATTGGCGTGCTTTCTGCCACTTACCGTATGCTGTATGCCCAGCTGTATGGAGCCCATGATTTGCGATGTCTGTATCTTTTTGTAGGTAATCTCGCCGCCCTCACCGACCCGCCTGTGTCCAATCTTGCGCTCCTTGTCCGCTTTGTTCGCCGAGCGCAGAGGCCGACTGCCCAGCTGAGAGTAATACACAGAATATTCGACCTCAATGCTAAATATATAAGGCCCTTCCACCCACATACTAAAATCTATATGCCCAAATGGCTGTACTTACGTCGGGCGATGAGTTACCCACATGGTCGGTGGAGACTACAAAGTTGAACAAAGCGTATTATTAGTTAACTACTTAACGTGGCTCAGTTCATGTATAATTTACAATGTGCAGGACATGAATAGCGAATGACCCAAGTGGGAAACAATTCAAATTGAGCTTGAACTTGGGTTAGCTACAAATACACTCACACTCTCTATACACACACACACACACGCACACGTTCACGCTGTTTATCCATAAATAGTTGACAGGGTTGTTGGCCGTTTGAAAGTTTCTTTTGTTGTCGTTTGTTTTAATTTGTTTTTTTTTCTTTTCGATGTTCTTAAAATACAAATAACATTTGTAAACGTGCTGCTGGCATTGGCTCTCAGTCAGTCAGCCACTCAGTCAGTCAGTCAGCCAGTCAGTCAAGGCGGAGGGTTGCGCCCACTGCCGCCCACCTACTTTGAGACACATGCGCCACGGCCACTTCCATTTGCCATTCATTGATTTTTTTTGGAAGGAATTTGTTCATGTTTCGCACAATTGTTGAGGAAAGTTTCAGCTGGCATTTGTGTCTTCCTTTTTTTGAACAAATAAAAGTTTATTTAGCTAATTAATTACCATTGCCTGGCTCCGCCAGTTTGGCCTGCGATGTGGAGGAGCTGTCCATGTCAATGGTGTGGATGGTGTCCCCGTCGCCGGACGCCATGCTGACGCATTAGCTGCTTCAGCTGCTGCTGCTGCTGGTGCTCCTGGTTGACACTCGCCCACGTTTCCACCTAAGCTGCTTAGCTACTAATACTAGGACATGTTGCTTGGTTTATTGGGGCTTTTTAGTGTATAGTAAATTGTTAATATCTAAAAGCTACTTTTGTTTAATTTGGCTCTTGTGCTTCGGGATTATCCAACAACAATCAATGGGCCAAGGGAGCAGAAACCTTGGCTCTCGCCTGTACGTCTGGCCTATGGCGTCAACCTTTTTGCAATTTAAGTTCACGACGATGTTGATTTCTCTGCTGCTGCTGCCACTGCTGTCATTTTCACTGCATACTCATAGGCACACTGGAAGGCGCACTGGAAGTGCTCGTTCGTGCATGCGCGCCAGGGCTGCACACTCAACAAACAACATACAATAGGGCTGCAGGCGATTGTTATGCAAAATGTACCAAAATATACCAAATAGTCTATAATTTGAATTTAATTTTCTTAAACTAGCAGTATGTTAGCGTATACTTAATATTCGAATAGAATAACATAAAAACAATTGCCAAACATTTATTTAATGCACTTTTAATGTTTTCGTTTTTATTAGCGTTTCTGTACTCAATTAGACCTATACATCATACATAACTATTTATATATATTTTTTTTTATTTATGTGGTAAATATATGAATACAATAATTTGTTTTAGTTTTGTTGTTGTTATTTGTTGTTTGTTTCTGGTTGTTTCTGCTGTTTTGCTTAGTGTTTGTTGTATGTTTCACTTTTTTTTTATTTTCTTTTTACTGTGTGTGTGTTAGTGTGTGTGAGTGTGTTTGAGTGTGTGTGTGTGTGAGTCATTTCATTTCTCTTACATTTACATGCATTTACAAAATAAGCGCTTTTTTAAAAATACCGCAAAAAATTACGTTTATCGTTTAAAATTCTATTTAAAAATGAAAAAGTTGTAAACATTCTAAACGAACATAAAAACAAATCGTACGTACATAGCCTACAAAAAACACTATCAAACTAACTGCTTAAAGCTAAAGATGCGATCGACATAACTACGGCGACTGTTGTCCATTTGCGTTGTATATTTGTGGCCTTATCTGCAATGGGGCAACCAGAACAAGGTTCAAATTAGCAACTGATCCTCACCAGGGCTCGCCCGCCCGCCTGCCCGGCTGGCTGCCCGCCATCCTGCTTACCTCTACTTACCATAGAAAATAGTCTCCCTGCGTTTGGTATAGTTTGTGCCAAGCAGGAAAAACGCACATGTTATCGGTGTGGGTGATTCGAGCTGATCTCTAGGAATGCGCGTCCGCACTGTCATGCTGTACAGGCCGCTCGGGTTCTGATCCAACTGCGTCAGCACCGAGTCCAGTATGTGTGTATCAAAGCTGCAATTCGCCAGCATCAAGGCATTAGATGCATCCAATTGGCCAATGTGGCTGAGCTGTACTTACATGACGGAGAGCACCGGCTGTGGAAATACGTTCTGCACCGCGCACATTATGTCCACATCCGTCTGTTCGCCACCCATGCGTGCCTCCAGCATGAAATCCGACTCAGGAACTGTTTGCGCGGATTGGGTTAGTTTCGGAATGGGGATTGTCAATCGACGAGATGACGTGTGGGTCACGGCAAACAGGGCAAAAAACCGTGAGAATTAATCAAGTGTCAAGCTAAACAACAACAAAAACAAAAACAAAACTTTCGAAATAGACACCAGAAAAAAAAAAACAAACAAAAATACAAACAAAAACAAGAGGCGGCGCTGGGCTGCTGGCTGGGCGTTCTGTAACCGCAGCGACTGCCACATGACACGCATGCAAATATGAGTCGCACGTGCCACAAACATACACACTCACACACACACACACACACACACACACACATGCCCAGCCACATATGGCAACACACCTACCCAACACCTAAGCAAACAACTTCACGCCATAAACAGGTGAGGAGGCAATAGCTGGGCATAGCCGACGCATTTTATGCCCTACTCGGCCGGAAGAATCCTAATTTGATATCAATACTTAAATATTAAATTAGTCTAACATTCACAAATTAAACTTTAAATAGAATTCACTTTTCTCGAGATAACAAGTCGTCCCTAATTTAAATTAAAAGGAATAGCTGAGCAATATGATTCTTTTCCGATTCAAAATAATGTAATATATTTTAAATTCATCAATTTTGGACAACAATCCAACTATATAAATAAAGTAGAGTATGAGTATAAGGCCGCCTCTTTGACATAAGTGTAATGAATAAATTAATTGAACCTTGTTTTGGTTAGTGTATATGGGAATAAATAGAAAAACAAAGGGTATATGCAAATTGTAAGCCCCCTTCAACATACCGATTATTTGTAAGCGGGCACTCCGCTTATCCGTGGACTCAAAGGTTTGCACGGCACAGGTGTATTCCCCCGTCATGTTCCAGTCGGGATTCTTTATCGATATAACACCGGGACTGCCCTCCATGCTGAATATTTTGGTGTCTATCTTTGCCTTCATGAAGCCCTACAAGAGTTACAGCAACAACAACAACAACAACAAGAACAGCAGTAGAAACAAAGAAGAAGCACAAGAAGAAAGCGAAATTTATGTTAATTAATTTTTTGCCTTCACGCGCTTGACTTCTGCCCTCCTTCAACGGGGGTGGACGACGTTCGACTATGACTCACCATGGCGAAACCCTTTACGGAGGGTATCCACTGATAGATGGAATGATTGTTGAACAGCCACTTGAGCACAAAGCCCTTCTCCCGCGGCCCCATCTCGTACTCGCAGTCCAACACCAGAGGATCGGGCTCATTATCACGTTCGAGTGTGTAAGTGTGCGGCACACGGAGATTGGTAATGCGCACCGTATGGGTCACTGTGTGGGGTCACCAAGGATTAGGCGTAGCTGTCAGCTTAAATCTCAGATTTACATACCCGTGAGTAACGTGAGGCCGGCGAGCAGCGTTGCGCACAAGATGCTCCAGCTCCAGCTAGCCATGTGCGCGTTCTAGTCGTCGACCTGGTCGTGGTCGTCGTCCTCGTTGTTGTTGTTGTTGTTGTCGCCGTTGTTGTTGCAGCCGTAGCTGATGCTTAACGCTGTCCGTTACGCGGTGTCGCTCAATAAAACACCTCTCAGCCCGCGGACGCAATTCGTGGCAGGATTCGGCTCAGGCTAAGGCTGTCTGTTGGCTATGCCTCCGGCTCCGCTTTGCATTGCTCAACAGCCTTTCAGGCGCTTGGTCACACGACTTATCAGCTTTCTCATTGGCATAAACATAACATCACAATAGAAGAGGTCAACTTTGGACCCCGGGACTCGCGACACTGGGTTTTGTTTTTGCGGCTAGCGGGCGGGCGGGCGGTCGGGTGGTTGCAAGTTTCGTATCTCCACTTTTCTGCGCTCTACGATGAGCTCAGCATTCCGATTAGCCGAATGGGAATTAAAATCGAAATGCTGCACTCCTTATATATCACACGCGAATACTTTTGTCTATATCCTCACAGTTTATATTATTTAATTTTCTATTCTCGTTTATATTCACAGCAATTGAAAGTTTTGCGCATATACAACTTTATGTTGGTGAAAAATCGACTTTTTGCTGTGTGTTCGGCTGTGTGTGTTTGTGTGTGTGTGTGTGTGTGTGTGTGTGTGTGTGTGTATGGGGAATTATGCCAAATGGAGTTTGCAGCTCCGTACTGCTGGATACCAATAGTGTTGGTATCTTCTATTTAACTGTTGTCCTTTTTCCAGCCTAGCTTTTAATGTTTTAACACTGGAAAACCACGTTACAAAAAAAAAACTACCGAGCACTGCACACACAGACGGCGAGCTTTTGGCAAAAGCTTCGCTCCGCTTCGCGCCGCGACGCGAGCTTTCTCCGCTCTGACGCAAACTCAACGCGTCGTCCTTTTTCGTCCTGCACAAGTGCCACAATCAGCTGAGCGCCAACGCGTTGGCGCATGCGTCACATTTTTGACAGCTGCTGTCATTTCCGTTTGACAGTTGGTTAAATGTCAGCAATTTGGAGAGTTCTGTGCCAAAGAGAATTCGTGGTCGCGTTGAACTTGTTGCAAGTGTCAAGGCAGAGTTCACAGTTAATCATTGGCTAACTTTTAGCTTAATTAACGCTTAACCATGCCGCTGTTACACACATTTAACTCACAATGGGTTAACAGAAGAGTGCATATTGCCTACTTATTGGGGCTGAATTTGTGAACAGATGTTGTTCTAAGGAATTCGAATAACTGTAGTTATATTTAAATATTAATTGCTTAATTCTTATTGATATTGTGCTTTTCAATAATTGATAAACAATATATTATTTATGTACAATTCATATTTTTATGCATGATTACGGAGAGAGAAGAACGACAAGCTAATTTTAGTATTTGATTTCCTAGTTAAAATTATTTAAATTCTTGAAAAAAGGGCTTAAGTTGAACTTAACTACAAATAGATATCGTAATAGTTATGTCAGTTTAACTACTTTGCAAAAGCCAACTCCCAAAGCAAGCTGCTGTCATTAAAAAAAAAAGAAGCCCCAGTTTAGGCGACATATTTACTAAAATACTTTTAAAATGAAAATATAACAAAAATTTGAAATGAAATTAAATAGACGAATTTCTAAGTTTGAGCTCTAACAAAATAAAAGAAACTTTTTTTTGTAAACAACCTGTTGAATTCTTAATTTAAAAGCCAACATGGTTCCAAACAGAAGCTAATAATCGTTTATTTGGACGGTTGCTGAGATCCTGACACTCAAATTTATTTTGATCTAATCTCTCTTTTTCAGTAAATTAAACAGAAGCAAGACATAACCCCATTTACTAAAACCTTTTAGTTATTTACTAACCGATTAGCCGAAAATAACGAAATAATAATTTAAATTAAAATTAATTTAAGTGTAGGCAACTGTAGATCACCAGATAATTTTATACCATTATTTCATCCGACAACTTTCTTATTTCCGAAACTGTCTGGACTTTAATGGAAAGAAGTATTAGATTATAATGAGAATTCCACTTACTCTTATATTTAATAATACTTACAAATTTGATTGAAAATGAACAATAGACGTTTTCTAATTATACATTTTATTAAATTTTCAATAACATCAGCAAATTTCTTAGAATCTACTCTATAGTTAATAGTGTTTTATGTGCTGAGCGCCTTGGCATTAAATACAATATAGATACACACACACACACACACGCACACATACACATGCAGAGTTGACACACATATGCTCTATATACTATATGGAATCGCTTTAAAAGTATGCTATAAATATGTACTTTTCTTTATATATATATATATGTGTGTGTATGTATGCTCGTTCCTGTTGGATAGCGAGCATAATGCATATGTAAGTACTATATTTTATACAATTCAAGTGGACTCGCGTTTTGTTTTTGTTTTTTTTTTTTTGGTCGCATTAAAATTTCGTGCTGGCATAAAAGTATCTCGAATATGCATCTACACTACAAAACTTTTCACACTCAATATTAAAAAATCGCCAAAAATTCAAATTGTTTCGAAATTTTCTTAACAGATCTTTTTGCTAAAGCAGGAATAAGTTTTGAAGTTAAGAGAAAAAAAGGTTTTCATTTTTGGTGATTTTCTAAAACGCAGCTAAAGTTTTTTTTAGTGTACATGCTGTCCGACATGTGGAGGGAGGAATACATGAGTAGTCGTTTGTCTAGATGCATTCCGTGTATACCGCAAACTACAGCTAATGTTTACAACGTTCAGACGAGGTGTTAAAATATGCTTAGATCGTAATCGTAACTGAAATCACTTTAATATACACAAGCAGATGGTGTCCCGTTCCGTCCCGGCTGAACTAACTAATCACTGGCCGCCCCATCGCTGTGCCCGTGTCCGATGAGCGTCTCGATGCGAAAGTCCTTGGCCATGGTCTGCCTGGCGCATCTCAGATTGGCGGGCTCACTGTTCATGTGCAGCAAGGTCGTCCTGGTGAGTGTGTTCCTGTGCGTGGCCACCTTGGGACTGGACGTAATCGCGAGCGAACTGTTGGATGCCTCCGCCTGATCGAAGAGCATTGCATAGGGCGAATTGCGCTCCGGCTCGGGATCAGGATCGCGTGTGATGGCCTCTGTGGCCACATCTAAACGATTGGGATTTGTGCACACCGAATCCACGGAGTCCGATATATGCGAGTCCTGTTCGTGCTCATTGGCGCTTTCCACATCAATTTTATCGCATGACGTATCGTCCGCCTCCCCGTCCCCCTCCCCATCCACATCATCGTTGTACACATTGAGATCCGTATAGTTGGCTCGCTCGGCATATTCGGCTGCTCCAAGGCCAGCCGCCGCAGCGGAGACATCGAACGCATAAGGATTTTTGTACTTGTTGGCTCTGCTGGCATCGCCGGCGGCGCTGCCGCTGCTGGCTGGAGGCAGTGCGTCCACGGGCTCCGCTCGGCGGTTGATGAACGGCAGGCGATCGAACTTCTCGCTGTTGTTCTGATAGAATGAAGCCTCCGCATTGGCAAAGAAATTGAATTTTTTATCCACACGCAGCGCCGTGTCGAACACATCGCTGGGCGTGTGCATCACATCAAAGTCGCGACTCCCATTGAAGTTGGGCACATTGAAGTGCACCGGCACCAGCGGAACCGGTTTCCGTATCCAGAACGGCGACAGTGTCCCAAAGACGGCGGGAAACGAGAAGCGTTGCATGGCCGGCGCACGTTTGTACCGCTTCCGTCGGCGCAGGAAGCTGCCATTGTCGAACATGTCCTCGGCCAGGGGATCCAGTGTCCAGAAATTGCCCTTGCCCGGATTGCCCGGTTCGCGCGGCACTTTGATAAAACAATCGTTCAGACTGAGATTGTGGCGAATGGAGTTCTGCCAAGCTGGGAACTTGTCCTTGTAGTATGGAAAACTGCAATAATCAAGGGAATTGTCATATTAGAGTAAACGATTTTTTATATTTTAGATCTCATGTATAAGATATCGATCAATATATACTTGATCGAGAACTGTCTGTCTATTCAACTGGATATTAGATTTTTAGCTAAGTGATGGAAGGATTAAATGCGGCATATCACACAAATGATCGGAAGGAAACGAACCTTACGAAAAATATTGTTTGAGAATTTCTGAAAGATGGGTTCAAAAACATGTCTAACAAATTAACTGTTATTTCATCGACCTAAAGTCAAGTAGATCCAATCGGAAAATAGGTGAAAACTTTCTCGTTTTAGCTGATAAATCCACACAATAAAATCAGCATTATTTGCGTACAGATGAATCACGAAAATTTAATTTATATATTTATTTTAATTGCAATATTTTGATTCTGAATGGTTTTTTTTTAGAATTTTATATACCAAAAAAATTTGTATACCATAGTTTAAGCTAGAATTCGCGCTGTTGTTTCTCTCAGTGTACTTACCGGGACATGATGAAATCACATATTCCACTGAGTGTGAGTTTCTTGTGCGGCGACTGAAGTATGGCCATGGTGATCAGGGCGATATAGGAGTACGGCGGCTTTACCAATGGGCCGCCGGTGCCAGCGCCGCCGTTGACGGTGCCGCCGCTGCTGTTGTAATTATCACCGCTGCTGCTGCCGCCGCCGGCGGGCGTGGACTCAAAATCGCTGTCGTCGCAGATCATGGACATTTCATCCGCAGCGGCGGCGGCGGCTCGCGAGGCTGCGACGCCGCCGCGCTGGCCCTTGTGCAGTGGCGGGGACTGGGAGGCGCAGTCGTGCAGGGCGTGCATGGGATCCGTGCTGGTGTGCATGCTTTGGATGTTTAGCTCTTGCTATTCTCTAACTAACTTGTACACTGCACCAAACTGAGCTGTCTTTGTAATTCAATTTGTATTTGTAGCGTATTTATTTATGCTAATGAAATGCTTAACTTATAAATAGGACGTAACACTTGTTTGACTATTTCTCAGGAACTGATGAATGCGCTTTTTTTCACTTGATTTTCTTTGATATTTCTCAACACGAATTTTAACTGTGCAATGTGACTTCCGATTCCGTTACCGTTAACGTTACCGTTGCGTTTACCGTTTCCGCTTGTATTGAACTTGAGTTGGAAACTTGTCACAGTTACGACTTTGCGACTTGGTCTGACGCGTCATCCGTCGGTTTGTCTGTTTTAGGCGGAATCCTTTTGCCAAATGTTAACTGAATCGCAACGAAAACGAAAATCTTCTCGCCCGAAATGTTTTTCTACATAACTCAAACATTTATTTATCCAAAACCGCTGCCGCTCTCGCTTCCATGAGCTTTTGTCGGCGCTGCTATGTTTTCGTATCTCGAATAACTGTGATTCTACTGTCGACGTCGTCGTCGCTGTCGCAGCAGCCGTAGTCGTTGTCGTTGTCGTTGTCGCTGTCGTTGTCGTTATTCCTGCCGTCAACGCCACTAGCATCAGCAGCGCAGTCGGCGCCAGCGTCAGCGCAGTCAGCAGAACCGTTCATGCCAGAGCGAGATGGAGATATGCTTTGCGCCTGCTCTCAGCAGGGGATGACTGAGATTGTAAACCAATCTACGCACCCCCAATCAGGAGCCAGGGGCTAGGCAGGGGCCGAGGCAGTCGCTCTCGCGCACATTCACACACACACACACACACGCACGCACACATACACACACCCATACAGACGACGTAATAACTTAAAATGGTGGAGTGCTGCTTGCTGTAAATGTGATATTTGTGTTTTCCTCTCCAACCATTGTGTAACGCGGGCGCGGACGCAAATTGGCAGGCGACGTCGACGCCAGCGACTGCAGAAGCCAAAACTCATAGCATGCCCCTCCGTCGCGCTACCCGTGCGCGCCTACATGCTGACTATGGGCAACATTTTCTCAAATTTAGATACCTTTTGCTGCGTTGACGTCGTGGCTCTTAATAATGTTTCATTATGTCAGCCGCACTCACACACACACACACACACGCACACACACACTTACTGCCTTATTATGTGTGCGTGTGCGTGCTGTACTAGTATGCGCTCTCGTTCAAATGTTAGCATTTTTATGTGCGAATGTTTTTCTAACCGTATGTCGGGCGTTCTCGTTCTCGTTTCAGCTCAGTTCGTTTGAGTACCCCGCCGCACCCGCGTCCATCGCTCGCAGCCAATGCGCCATTTTCGCAACATCCTTAACACAATTGGGGGGTATTTTGTATAAGTATGTGTGTATGTGTGTGTGTGTGTGTGTGCATTATTTCTCTTTTTCATTTTCGCTGTTTTTGTTCTCTAGTTGTTAGACATTATTGTTGCTGCTGTTGTTGTTGCTGCTGCTGCCGTTCGCTTTCTTCCCTTTTCAAATTAAACATTCAGTAGTCAGTTTTATTTGTTGTACTTTGTTCAAATTAGTTTTCAGTTTTGCGGAAGTTGCTGGCACACAAACACACACACACACACACACATACACTCACTCACACACACACATACAGACACTATCGTAGCTAAACAATAATGGTGGCTGGCAGCTCCACCCGCCCCCCACCCCCTCCCCTGACAGGACAATATTGATATCGTTTCTTTCCCCTTGCATGATTTTCATTATTCTATTTTCTTTTGCTCATCCCATCTTTCCTATTCCCATTTCCCGTCGCTTCCCATTCGCTATCCGAAAAGAAAAATCAAAATCACTTGGCTACACTTACAAATCACTGATTTTTAGTCAACGTTATGGGCGTGGTAACACCCCCGCCCTGCCTTTGTATACGTGTCTATGTGTGTGAATGGTGTGTGTGTGCTCGTCTAAGGCAAGCTTTATTGGGTTTGGGGAAGGACTCGCTGCCGTTGTGCAATCCAGTTGTGGTAAATTTATTGCGGATTTCCTTTGTCTTTTTACGAGCTCAGATGGACATCCAAGCAAACTCCGAGTTTCAATTTCAAAGAAGTAATAAACGAGCACTTCTCAAAAGCCATTGATTTGGATGCCGCTTTAATGGCAATTATTACAAATGTGATTTTCCAGTTCTATTCCGATGACTAAACAGAACTGAAAATGGCACTATAAAGCATGGGAAAAGGACAGATTTCGGTTATACGTTTAGCTAAGACGACTTTAATAACGAATAGCCCACATAAATTGGATTTATTTTTTAAGCACTATCGAATTTGCAAATGTTTCTGCAATGGCAATTCTTCCTTCCAACTACAAAGCTAATTGTTCTTTTGATATAGTCAAAATTTTGTTTTAGTAGTATTAAATAATTGACAATATTGATAGCTTATACTGTTAACATTTCATTATATAAAGGCATTATTAAAGAATATGAAAATCGCATAGAAAGGCGTTTAAGGTGTTGAAGAGGCAGAGAGAGTTTGAGGAAGGAGGCTGATAATGAGACAAAAAGAGAGAGAAAGGATGAAAAAAGGAAACTAGATGTGGACTTTAACTAGTATAAGTATTGTCTTTTGCCATAAAAATGAGAATTTCGCATTCTACAGCTTCTTCTCTAATTTGGCGTTTGCCTTGTTTTTACAATAATTATTTTTAAATAATATCTTAATATTTTCTATTTTATAGAAAAAGTTTAAAATTGTATAATTAATAAACAAACAATAAAAAACATTCTCATAATCTTTGAAACGTCTTTTATATTTTTCAATTACACATATCTGATCAATATATCTTTATTATACTGAATATTTGAACAGACAGAAGGTAACAACTTTAACTCAATCAAATATACTTATTCTCAAGCAGAAAAACGATTGAAATAAGTAAAGTCCCTTTGTCAGGCCGTATGTTCATCGATCTCAGAGATTTTAAGCGGCAAACTCTTTCAATTGAAATAGTATAGAACCTTCTTCTGAGTTCAAGCCCATTTGCAGCGATTACAGGGTATATTTATAACATATTTATAGGTTTAACAATATAGTGCCTGACTACAGATATCCTATGGTCTATTTCCACTTGCCTAAGCACATTAACTGCTCTAAGTACACCAACAGTTGCCATAGCTGCGCTCACTTGGAGTTTTCGATGGCACCCCAGCCATTAGCTTGGCTGAGTATAACGACCCATATCCATGCCGAATCCTCTGCGGCAGCCCCTGTCAATCTACGGTTAATCATCGCTTAAGCACAGCATGAAACTGGGACGGGACTGGCAGGGCGGGGGTTTGCTCAAGTTGAGCGATGCGTTTAAGCTTTGGAGGGGAACAATTAACTTATGCGCAAACAATAACGCCAAAGAATGCACGCTGACAGGAACCAGTCAGCCAGGCAGCCCGTCAGCCATGGCAGCAGGGATGTCGCATCCTGCTTACGGGGCTGCGGTATGATCCAGCAATAATCCTTCTTTTGTCAGCAAATTTATTGCTAGCAAACAAACACGCCGCCCAAAAGGATATGCCAAGGATATAAATATATATACAGACGTGGAGTTGGGCGATGCGACTTTTGGGCGCACACATTTTTATTGCGAAATCTGCAAAAGGCAAATAAAAGATTTGACACTCGAATTGCTTTGACGAAGCCAACAAAACAATGGCGACTCAACTGAGACAATGGCAACGTTTTCGGGCTCCACTAATTTGCGCCGGGCCTCGTCCTTTTCCCAGCCATTGATATCCTGCCACCTGCCACCTGTCTGCGGCAGCAAGATCGCAAAGGCAAACACACGCACACTTCAATGGCTGTTGGCCAGGTTTAATGGCAGCTCTTCTTATGTCATTATTAAATCTTTGAAGTATCTGCAGCATAAAAAAGCGGCAACACACACTTGAATACTTGAGTGACGCTCAATTTGATGGACAAGCAGCAGCAGGAATCAACCCCTCAATGCGAAAAATCACAGCAGGCACACGAACAAATTGCACAACTGCAGCCAGGACCTCAATCTCAACCGCAACCGTTCAGCTCAGCTCAGCGCACACACACAAACATACACACACATTTACAGGCTCAGCGCCCAGCTACAAATCGCTTCAACCTGCCTGCACGGCAAAAACAAGTGGCAAAGTATAACAAAGGAGTCCGAGCTGAAATATTTTACGCTCGATTTATCCGCTTTCAGGCTGTTATCGAGGGGCTTGCGGGGGGGAGGTGGGGTGGCAGCAAGTGCCATGCTGTTTGAGTCTCATTTCATTCATTTGTTCATTTGATGACGATAACAATGATGATCATGATGATGATGATGATGATGATTCTGGTGCGCTTAAGCCTCTTGTTTGGCGGCAATAAAAATCGAGCCGTGAGCTCGGGCTCGGGCAGAGCCCAGCACAGCCTTAACCCACCCCGGCAGGATGTCAATTTCTCAATTCATAAATAAAACCCAAAGCCCTTTGAATGTGTCAGCACAAGTGTGGAAATTACAACCATGCCCATCCATGGGCATGGGCTGATTGGAGTGGCCTCTATGTGTGTGTATGTGCCGCACAGTGTTGCCCAACTGTAGCTGAAACCAGTGTTAAAAAATAGCTAAAAATATTTGATTTAGCTTGCAGAGCAGAAACTGGCTAGCTGGTCTACAGCTTCTATATTATAGCTATAAATATTTAACCTTAAGATTAGAATTGCGATTTCATTTTAAGTCTTCTGTTAAGGTCACAAGGTTTCGACTTATCTGAAAAAACGTAATATAAATAAAATATGGAAAAATGAACATTAATCCACTTTGTGGATGTTCCCAATAAAAAGAGAGAGACAGAAATTTTATTGAAACTTATATTAAAAAGGGAAAAAATCTGCTTTTTTAAATGCTTCCCCTCGGAAAACAGCTAAAATTAGCTATTAAAAAGCCAAATGGACAGCACTGTGTATGTAGCTTG